CTGACTGAAGCCTGTGACCTAGTCCTAATTTGGCGAGCTGCTAATGGTTACCCCTTGTGCATTGCACGCAGCAACAGCACACACAGGGTAACCAGCAGCAGCTCCCAAGCAGCTCTATAAAACCATGTACAGGACTACCGTAACCACAGAATCGTCGCATGCCTTATTTGGTAACCATTCAAGCTGGCGAAATCAGAACCCTCTTGCGACAAATTCCGTGCCGTGTGGTGGTTCAAGCGCGGGTGGGCGGGAGGAAGACCCCCGTGCCCGCAGTGTTCTGCTGGGGAAGGAAGCGCGGCGGAAGGAAAACCCGCGGGGACTCCTCCTGTGGCTGCTGCGGTGCCGCGCACTGCTGCTGCCTCTGCTGCTGCTGCTGCTGCTGCTGCTGGAGGTACATCAGTTGCTGCAGGTGCATCTGGTTCAGGTACATCTGCTGCCAGTACAGGCTCATCTGCTGCTGCATCAACTGTTGCTGCTGCTGATACTGCACTTGCGGGTTCGGGGGGAACGCGGCAGATCCGCAGACGCGCGCAAGAGGCGCGGGCGAGGGCGCAAGGTAAGGGGCGGGGGTGGAGACAGCAGCGGGGGGGAATGCGGGCCGACCCAGAATGCTGTCGGAAGACACGTTGCTGTTCGCGAAAGCTGCGAGTTGCGAGTGCGCGATACCGGACGAGTTTTCGCGAGGATAGAGGTCGAGGTCGTCGGGCAGATTAATCTCGTCAGCATCAGGTTCGCTATCCGCTGGCCCCACGTCGTCCGCAACATCCGCGTTATACAGCTCAACCGTATTCCAAGAAGCGACGGAAGCGCCGCTTCGAAGCACGGAAGTGGGAGAAAGCGAACCAGCGGCGGAAGATACGGAGGAGCGAGGGGAGAGGCAAGAAAAGGTGGAGTCGGTAGAGCAGCTGTCGTCGCAATCACTCCCGTTATAATCACACTCGCTCGTGTCGTCCCCAGCTACTTGAACCTGGAGCTGCGACTGCGTTTTCCCCGCAGGCTTGTCAGTCTGGCTAACGCTCCAAATGCTGTTTCCGCCGAAATCGTGCGGAGAGAGGAAGAGAGCGGAAGCGGGCTTTTGCAGCTGGCCGTTGGATCCCATGATTTCTGTGAACTAACTGAATTAACGGCGGTGGTCCCGGCGTCTCTATTTATACCGATTCGGTCCTTGAGAAGCGCAGTGAATGAGAGCTAAACAGGGAGCGATGTTCGCAATGCAGGATAGTTCTAGTGCTTTGGTATGAGTAGTTACTTGTAGACTGAACAGAACTGATTTTCTCTGTCGACTGATTTCAACCTACTTATATGCTTTACCTGACAAGCGAAGAGGTTTTCCACGAAAGGCGTGGGGAGCTTCGCTGGGCTGGTGCTGCCCCTGAACATGCGAGGCTCGGGTTGGCGGGAGCTGCGTTTCTGTCGTCGTCGACTCGAGTCGTCCAAATTTCAATGCGCGTTGAATCCCGAGGAATTGTTGCATGCGGGGCATCTGAAACAAATTTGGAGGAAAGGGGCATGCGTGCCAACGAAGCTGTACAGTATTTTGAGATTTCGGTTCGGTGAATCGGTGCCCGTCTCCATGCGAGCGGAATTTACCAGAGAAAATCCGCGTTCCACCGACCCCGAGTCAGGCGCGGCGCGGTTCTGACCGTCCTCTGCTCCATACTGCGACTCTGTACACGACGACTTCCCTCAGGAGGGTGACTGGGAGGAAGCTCCAACCACCCCCATCCCATCCCACCCCCCCCCAAAATCCACACTACCTCTTCCTACCCACCCACCCGCCGGACACTCACAATTGGGGAAATGTTGGTGAGGCGCGTTTCCGCGCGCGCGGGTGTTCCATGTGTTGTGACGTGTAGAATCTGGACGGAGATGTCATTCACAACGGACAATGGCTCTTCCTCACTTCGCTCACTCACACTCACCCCAGTCCTAGAGGCGTACGCGATACAAATCATGGATGCTGGAAACACTCCTCTATCATTGCATCCTTACACAGAAACACACAACTATTTCGGGGGTTGTAATGATAATCAAATTCCGTTCCTCCACTAGGGGAATGTTACATAAAGAAACAAAAAATCCCGAAATATTATACGCTTGTTCTTTAAATAATGGCATAAATCCAGTCGGCCCTAGGTATGATAAATTATTTCGAATAATCTAGAGATTCATGATGTGAAAATTATAGGTGTGTAACTGTTGATACGTTTGGTGCCCCAACCCGATTGCAGCGGTCCACCCAGGCACCTGAAGGACAGAAGTTTGCACAGTGGGACTGTAGTGCCAACCAAGAAGCCATCGTGAAAATTGTCGGCTATGTTTGTGGAAATACACCTTCAGGAATGGTCCTACTGAACCAATGTTTTGAATGTTCGCTTGGTAACTGAATGCCCTATACACGCAGTCGGGTCAAGTAGATGGTGTGGAAACTATGGCTCCCAGTCCCCCATTCCCATCTCCCCTTGTTTTTCGATGCTGTCCGATGCAATGGGGAAAGTGGAGAGTTTACCCCCGCGGAAATCGTTGCCTGCCTAAACAAAACGAGCATTAATTGTCAACTCTGGACAGATTGTCTGTCTGGCAGGAGGAATAAAAAAAGGGTTTTTAGTTGAACGCGCACTGTTACTCAACTTATTCGCTCCCCGCAAAACTACAGCGCTTCGGGCGCACTGTTACTGTCCAGAATTCGCTCACAGCGCAGAGTTATTGCGATTTCAACGCAGTTTTGCTATCATTGGTCACAAAATTGACGGGCCGACAACCCTGCTTGGATTGACGGCCACCGAACCGTCAAACGCTAATATTTCGGGCATAACAAATATAAAACCCTATCGGGTGGCATATTTTTTTTAGGGAGGCATCAACCCTAAACACCAGGCGGCAAGGTGTTTAGGGTTGATGCCCTTCCCAACGAGTATATTTTTTCGATGGCGTGCCTTCGATAGAGCATCAACCCTAAACACCATTCGGAAGGTGTTAATGGTTGTACCCTTCTGAATGGAATATTTACTTATCTACCATTAAAAGGATGAATAAAATTGTTACTGTTTTCGCTGACAGTATCCACAGGTTCAGTTTGTAGTTATGTGCCATGTTTCGACCAATGAAATCAAAACTGCGTTGAAATCGCATTGTTTCTGCGCTCAAATCGAAAACTGGGCAGTAACAGTGCGCCAGAAGCGCTGTAGCTGCGCTGGGAGCGAATAAGTACAGTACCAGTGCGTGATCAACTCAAAACCCATAAAAAAACGCGGAGTTACGCGTAAGTGAACGGTTGGTGACGGACAACAATCCCAAGCAGACGACAGGAGTGGACGATGACACCCAAATCGACAAGTTGGGCTGGTCGTGTCAGAAACAAATCGTGCGAGGGCAGCGCAAATGGGGAGATTGGGTTGGAGCCAGTGAAAGAAAGGAGAACATGTGTTGGCAGTGGGAGTGGCCAATGGCCATTGGCGAAGCTCCTTGTTTTTGGCATACACGTACAGGTTTCGTTACGGGCGACGGACAAACGATCCAACCCAAGCGATGAACGACTTCCATGCGACGAGATTATTGCTGCCAAAAATCGCCCGTCGCAGATGGGTCAGTCAGCGGACGTGGACAAACACGAGGAGTCGGATCAGCTGGCAGCTGCACGGACGATGTCATCAAGTGTAACGCACAGAACATCCTGCCAGGCGCTCCCACTAGCCTTCCCACAGATATTCCCACCAGCCTTCCCCCACCAGCACTTAGGGCATGAAGACCTTCACACAACCGCATTAAACCGCGTTTTACCCATCCGGGTTTCTAAAATGCAGACTGTTTCTTCCCGTGAAGTTCAGCGTGATACCACAACTCGCCACAACCCAACCAGCAGGACAAGAAGACAAGGTGAGCAACAACACAAGACACGAAGAAGGCAGACACCCTGATAAAACAGCAGCAGAACAACTTGGGAGCTAGGGTTTCACCTCCTCTCCGCAAATCAGCTTCCATCAGAAGTGAAGAGCCTGGACCACACTTGCCATTTTCCCACCAACCATCCACAACGGAAACAGCAGCTGAACAAGTCGCGTTGGGTTGGGTTGGGTTGGGACTATCTACGACCTCTGCAGCCATGACTTCGGTTACGGGACTAAGATGCAGATCGCTAGAGCAGACACGACGTGGGATAACCTAGTGCCGTTCTGGCCGTCGAGCACAACCGTAGTTTCATACTTCAGCCGCTCAGGTTTCTTGAGAGGCTGCTGCGACGTTCTTGCGTAAAAGTAATATAACGACTGGAAGGCCAAGTTCAGGGTTGGTTCGTGAAAATTTCAAGGTTCAACCAGCTCTGATTCGTAGTTACTGCAGTACTGGTGGCGTAGTTTAGTAGACGATATGGGGTGTCTTCCGGCAAACCGGCAAGCTCGGATAGGTGGTAGATTACTTCGCACGGTTTCGCTTCGGTTACTCCTCCTAGCGACAATCTCCATTTCCATTCCCTTATCTCTTTCACGAGAGCAAGTCGATGGCTCTGCATATGCTGTTTCCGGTTCAGTAACTTATCAACCATCGGCATTCGAGTCGTACATGCAAGAAAGATGGCGGAAAGAGCAGCTTCTTAAGGACAACCCGGAAGAGTTCACCGCTTATAATGCTCGCGAGCTCTCGACTCACATTAACCGACGAAGCCTTGCCAGCGGTCCGATCAGGAAGTCTGTTTTTTACAAGTATTCTGCTTCTCCGGAGGAACTCGAAGAAACTCGTATGGTTGGGAGGTTGTTAAGAGAAAAAATACTTGGCGAGAAAGAAGCGGACGGTCTCAACTGGGGTCGGAAGCTGCAAGAATTTCTGAAGCCAAGTTCGTCGGAGCGAAGGATTCTCGCAAAGCCGGCTTACATGGAGCTGTACGAAATGACGGATCTTCCTCAACGAAGAAGGTTACAGGGTAACTCGGGGAAGGTCCAGGCGCTTCAAGCGCCTGACTTGGGAGCAGCTCCTGCTCGCGGCGACATGAATATCACCTGGTTTCGATGGCAGAGCGTGTCGACGCCGACGCTCGTCGACTGGAGCATCACTCCGTACATCACGCCAATGTTGAACCAGCAGTTCGTACGTCTCTCGCGCTCTTTATCTCTCTGCCTTCTCGCAGTGCTCTTACCGTCAGCCTGAAGGCATTTCCGCTTACTCTTTCTCTACAGGCCAATGTGTGCTCGTCTCTCTGCGTTCTTGACGTTGCTGGATTGCCGCTCCATGCATGCTCGCTCGCACCTTTCGTGTTCATCCCCCTCCCGTAATCCCCATCCCTTCCGTCTGTTCTCCTCTCCTGTCACGGGCTGCTGCTATTGACTTGCTAAAAAAAAATCAATTCTCCCTTATCTTCCCTTCCGTTCCCCCTTTCCGTTCCCCCTTTCCCTTCCCTTCCCTTTCAGTGCGAGAGCTGTTGGGCGATGACTGCGACGGACCTCGTGAGCATCGTGTGGGCTCAGATCAACAATCAAACGGCTGAGCTCCTCTCCACGCAGCACGCGTGCGACTGCTCGTCGTCCGCTTGCTGCCGCGGCGGCTGGCCCGAGTGGGTGTTCCAGTTCATTATGGTGAACGGCGGGGTGGCTGCTAACGTGGATTATCCGTACGCGGGCGCGATGAACTCCACCTGTGCAAGCGTCTCGAAGTCGAAGCTCAAGGCGAAGGTATGGGCTGCGTTGAGAGGGGAGCGGGTGCAGACCGCGGTTATCGGAGCATGCAGTCAAGGGGCCAAAGTTGCTGCGGTTGGAGGGTGGAGGGAGGAGGGAGGGGGGGTCAGAAATGGCTACACTCGAATGCGAGCTACATCTGCTTCTGCTTTACGTCGATGCTCATCCTGTTGCTCGCTGTTCATCCTCCTGTTGTTCTCCGCGTCTCCTCGTCGCCTTCCCCCTCTGTCGTCTTTACCTCGCGCTCTCCCCCTCCCCCCCCCTTCTCTCTCTCTCTCCCTCCCTCTCTCCCCCTCACCCCCGTTATTCGATGCGCGCAGATCAACGGGTGGGAGAAGGTGCCGGCGAGGAGCAACACGGCGCTGATGAAGGCCGTGGCGCAGCACCCCGTGCTCGTGTACATCGCCGGCAGCAGCAACGACTTCATTGTACGTCGCCTCCCTCGCTCCCTCCCTCACTCACTCCCTCCCTCCCTCCCTCCCTCCCTCCCACCCCCCTTCTCTCTCCCTCTCTCTCTCTTACTCTCTCTCCCTCTCTCTTTCTCTCTCTCTCTCTCTCACTCTCACTCTCACTCACTCACACGCGCTTGTCCCGTCCCTCAACCACCCCCCCCCCCCCCCCCCCCCCCTCCCCCCCCCCTCCCCCTCATTCCCCTCTCCCCAACCTTCCCCATTCCGTTTTCAGCTGTACGCTCCCGTTTTGACTTCCAATAATTAAATCTCCCTTTGTTTCGTCTCCTGTCACCGTCAGCCATTCCTCCTTCCACACTTCGTTCTTCCTCCTCGCGTCCCGCTCCTTCAGATTCCCCCCTTTTTCCTGCTTCCACCCGCTGACCCCCACGCATGGCAGAATTACTCGGGTGGGATTTTCTTCGGGCAGTGCAGCGGCGAAATCGACCACGCCGTGTTGGTCGTGGGCTATAGTCTCGTCGACCCTAACTCACCAGTCTGGATTGTTAAAAACACCTGGGGACCCTCCTGGGGCGAAGGCGGATACATGCGGCTACCGATGCTTGCGGACGGGCCTGGCAAGTGTAATATGTTGAGCGAACGGGGAATTTACCCTACCTTTTATGATAAGACCAAGGGCGCGGCTCTCTGCAAGCTGCCCATAAATCCTTGCGGAGGCGGGACGTGTGTGGTGACGAACGGTGGTGCGCGGTGCAATTGCCCCCCTGGTTTTGTTGAGAGATTGGAGAACGACGCGCCTAAGTGCACGGTGGCTACACCTTGTGATGCGAATCCGAATCCGTGCGGTATCGGGACATGCTACAACGAGTTCGATGGCAGCTACACTTGCGCATGCCCTGCTGTAAGCCGTTTCCGTTCACCACTGTCCCCTCTTTTTTCTTGAAAGCTCCGATTTTCAGCAGTCATCATCTTTCAATATACTTTTTGCCGTCGCAATTTCACTTATTCTGCCGAACCGTTTTGTCTGTGTGTCTCCAGGGCTCGGTGATTGGTTCGCGTGTTGAGGGCAGCATGACTTGCGTGCTCGGCACCTTCCAATCGGGTCTCCAAACCTACACGATTCTGCTCGGCGACACCTGCCAAACCGTGGCCAGCACGTTCGGATTCACGTTAGACTTTCTCCAAACCAAGAACCCGTTCCTCGACTGCTCCCAACCACTCACCCCGGGTTACGTCATCCTCGTCGGCTCGACAAACACCACTTTAGGCTGCTCCGCGATGGATATAGTTAGTCCGGGCGACACATGTAGCATAGTTGCTACACGCAACAACATCACTGTTCGCCAGCTGTTAGGCATCAACCCAACCCTCAACTGCAACGTGTCGCTGCAGCGCTCGCAGATGCTGTGCGTCGCGCCGGGCGCTCTGTCGGCCACGTCGCCCTTGATCCGTTCGTGCGGCCGAGTGTACAACGTGGGACCACAGGACCGGTGCACAGACATTGCCCGCGGGTTCAACATCTCGCTCATCGATTTCATCTGGTGGGTACCTTGCCATGCAGAATCTGCGTGTTATAGTTTGTCGTCTCGCCTACTTTCTGTTTTGCTAACATTTTCAGGCTGAATCCGCTCGTCTCTCCTGCTTCCTACTCTGCCAACCATTTCCAGGCTGAATCCGGGGCTTAAGTGCGACGACAACCCTATCAGCAATGCCATTGCAGTCTGCGTGGCTCCTCTCACCACTGAGGTAACCTCCCCCCTCTTTCCCCCTTCACTTTCTCCCTCCCTCCCTCTCCCAAACACCACCATCACAGTCTTTCTCACCCATTCCTCCCTCTCCCCCACTCCCCAGTTTCCACCCGCTCCCCCTCTTCCTCTCCACTTCCTTCATTCCGCGATTCTCCTCTAAATTGTACCCACTTCGCTCCAAGCGAGTGTTCAGTCTGTCCAATGCGCTCACAATCTGCTGCTGCCCTATACCCCCCCGCAACCCGCATGCCATCTCTTTCTCCCCCCCCCTTTCCCCTCCCCCCCCCCCCCCTCTCTCCTCCTTCCCCTCACCCCCTCACCCTGCCCCCTTCTCTGCAGTTCGTCACAGTGGACTGCTCCTCGTGGTACACAGTCACACAGGCGGACACGTGCTCACTCATGGCCAACTCAGTGGGCCTCACAGTCAACCAGTTCCTGCGCCTCAATCCGGGCCTCAGGGTATACTTTCCTTTTTCTCTTCTCCCGCCTCTCTCTTGTCTCTCTCGCCTCGCCATGACCCTCTTGCCTCATCACCTTCCTGAAAACGCATTTCTGCCATTTTTTAGTCTCCGTTTGCAGCAAGGCTTTCGTGTAATCCCCTCCCCACATTTCCTATTTCGTATCTCTTGCGTCGCCGCACACCCTCCTCCAGTGCTATCCGCCGTACCTCTGTTTGCATCAGGACTTGCTTGTAATCCTCACCATAGCCGTCTTTCCCTCCGTTTTCTCCACTTTGCTGCCACCCGGTTCCCTCCTGCAGTGCTACCCGCCGTACCTCCAAATCGGGCAGAAAGTCTGTGTGAACGGCACGACACAGTCCATGACCAAGTATCCGCTCTCCCCAAACGTGATCCCGTACTCTGTGGGCGTCAACGACACGCTCGCGACCATCTCCCAGCAATACGCCTCCATGTGTCCCAACAACACGTTCCCGGCGGATATCTGCTCCTCAAACTCCTTCCCGGACTGCACAGACCAGTCCATCACGCCCAACCAAATGATCCTCATCCCCTGCACGAGAAAGATCTCGGGAGACCTCTGTGGGGATTCGCTCCCCGTCTGCGGGGCCGATTATGTGACTTACAAGTCGGTGTGTCATGCTGTGCTCAGCTTTGCCCTGCCGCTCGTGAGATCTGGGCCGTGCAACCTGTGCAACGAGGGGATCTGCCAGAACCGGACGGCGATAGATCCGGTTCCAAACACGTGTCCGGCGCCGCCCGGCATGTGCCCGTTCCCAACGTGGCCTCTCACTCCCGATTATTTCTACTACTGCCCATGGGTGTTCAAATCCCAGTGTGAATGCTTGCTGGTGAGTTCAATTCTTTCCTGTCGCCCCTACCTCCCTCCCTCGCACTCTCTTTCCAATCTCTCTGTGTATGCTCTTCCTCAGCCTTCCCCCCATGCGAGCCCCCCTCCCCTCCTCGTTTGCCTTCGTTTTTCAGTGCTCAATCTACCACGATCTATCACTCAGCTCTGATTTTATTCTTTCCCCCCCGCTGTTCCTGCAGTACACGTGTGATTATCTCTGTAACAGAACGGCAGCATACTACAAGTACACCCTGGGCAGCAAGTACGCGTTATACAGAAATGCGACAATGTTCAAACCAGCATGCAACAACACGTGTATGAGTGACTTGCGGACAGGCTGCTGAGATGCTCAACTGCCGCCCTCCTGGCGGATTTTCCGGGCCCTAGAATCACATCACAGAAGCGGCTTGTCAAGAGTGTAACTTGAGCAGACCCCCCTGTGGACCATCAGTCTACTACCTGTGGCAACAGTGTGAAGGTCTGGACGTGGAGCACCGCAAAGCAGCTGCTGGAAATGATGCGTGACTTGGGTTCTCTGGCTTTGTTACTGGATACTAATCTGATTCAATTATTTAATAAATCTATGCTTTTGTATTGCATTTTGTACCTAGTCGTTGGAGTTCTTTAGCTTTTGACTTCCTGTGTGTGCGCTTATCGAACATTCTTGTTCCACAATTGCTCAGGTTCGCCGAGGCTTGCTAACGACGGCGACACTGTTTCTCGCTTGGGAACTGTCCCGTCGCAATTATCGCTTACCCCGCCATCGCCCGTCAACTACAGTGCCTGATTCCTTCCTCTATGTGCGAGCCGGCTCGGCTGGGAGTTGAGCACGTCATTGTTTCCCCAGCTGGGCTCAGCGCGCTTTCCAGCTGTGCCCGTAAAACCTTCACCGAACCGAAGCTTCACTTTCCGTCGCATCCATACGTACAGACCTAGAAATCTCCCGTTCCGAACCAGCTCCCAAAATCTCCATTACAGTCACGGACGTCGTCACACTGTCTTTCCCCAGCAGCAGTCACGGACATCGCCGCAGTGTTGAACTCCGAGCCTGTGTCGCCTTGCCAAACTTATCCCGAATCGGATGGATGTCGTCTTTGTTAGAGCCCCCAACCTCCAACCGAACCTCCCCCTTCCGGCTGTGCGTCTGTTCCACGTGATTTTCGGGGTTGTTTTCAGGGAAACGTTTGCTTTTCTCCCTCCCCGCTTTGCTTGGTTTCGGCGTTTGCTTTTCTCCCTCCCCGCTTGCGCAAGACGTGATTGTCGGTCGAATTACGACTACTTTTTGCTAGCTTAGCTTTCGCGCCGCCAACGCTGCTCCTGTTAGGTCGGACAAGACGTGAATGTCGGATTAGCTCGCGAGTCTCGAGCAGGCTTGCTGTTATTACTTGGAGAGGATTTTTTGCAGGTTTAGTTTTCTGGGAAGCAAGCAACCTCGTTCATTATTGACACTTCCCTTTCGTATGCGCTCACCTAAGCTCAAGCAGTAGTTTCGAATGACTTCAACAACGGTAGACATCAGCAGTATTGGCCGGCACAGCAGCCGCGACTTGCAACCCCATAACGCAGGCTTACCAGTTTCAACGGATCCACGTCAGCAGCAAGAGGTCGAATCGCAGTATACCGAGACCCAATCGGACGAGCCTGACGTGGAATACAGCTCGCAACAGGAGGTGGAATCGCAACCTTTGGTTAGGAGGCAAAGTAGTGAAGACAGCAGCGCAAGCGCCAGTCGAACGAGCAGATCCAGCGCTAGCACTAGCACTACAAGTGACAGCGGCACGATCCCTAGCAGCACAGGCACCAGTTGTGCGGATGGGGAAGTAGCAGCAGCAGCAGCAGCACCAGTTATAAGCAGCAACCATGGCAAGGACTCGTTTTCCGAGCCCGCAGCAGTTTACGATCCTGAAAGTGTGTCGTTTGAAGACCGCGACGCGAAGGAGTGCCGTATCTGTCAGGAAGAGGATGACGTGTCAAAGTTGGATGTCCCGTGCGCGTGCTCCGGTAGTCTCAAGGTACTCTCGGCTTCTGAGTTTGTAACTTAATATGTATTAGTCTTTGGTTGTTTCCTTTCTATAGGATCTTGCCGTGGGGCCTTTTGGCGCTCATTTCGTGTGCGTGAATGCCCCTCTCCCCGTTATTGAGTCACTGCAGTACGCGCATCACGATTGCATCCAGAGGTGGTGCAACGAGAAGGGCAACACGCAGTGCGAAATCTGCCATCACGTAAGTTCACTTTTCCAAAACTTCAGTATCCTGTCCAAGACTTCATACCCTCCGAGTTAATACGCGTGGCTTGTACCATTCCCATTACTCACTCGTCCGCTAAGTTGCGTACGTTCCCGCTTTTGCAAAGTATGCGTTTTGGAAATCTCGCGGTCCGCTTCGCCGCACACCCCCCTCCCGTCCCTCTCCCCCTTTCCCACCCCCCCCCCACCCCCCCACCCCCTCCCCCCCCTCCGCCCCCCCCCTCTCTTTTTTGCCTATTCACGTTTCTGGTTCTAGACTGCTCACTTTTTCATGTTTTAAAGAGCGCCACCTTTGTTCCCTTCCTCTTCGCGAGCACGCTGATGCATCCGGTCCCATCAACTCGTCCCTGCCGTCCCCTCTCCCTCGTTCCCCCTTCCCCCTCTCTCCCCCCCTTTTCCGCCCCCTTTTTTCGCCCCCCCCCCTCGTTCCGCCCCTCTCGTTCCTCCCCCTCATCCCGCGCCCCCCGATCCCCCCCCAGCCGTTCAAAGAGGGTTACACCGCGCCGCCGCCGCCCGCCTCTCCGCCAATCACGCCGGGGCTCGTGGCGCTGCAGTTCCGCGACGGCGCGGGGCAGCTGAGCCACATCGTCACGTTCCGCGACGCGGTGACGGGCGAGGAGCTGCGCTTCGGCCTCGAGGACTTCGCCTCCGCGCCCGCGGCGCCGGAAATCCCGGAGCCTGCTACCGTCAGCTGCTTAAAGTCGCTCATTATCATCGTACGTGAATTTTCTGTCAGCTGCTCATCTTCTCTTAGTACGTGAATCTGGTAGCAGGTGCCCATTTGTCATCGAGTATCATTGAGCGTTCTTTTTGTTGTTAGCCGCTCTATAATCATCACACGTTCACAATTTACCCCACTATCCCCCCCATGCTCGCAGGTTCTGCTGCTCATCTTCGCGCGACACTTGTTTGCGCTCGTGCTGGAGGCGAGTGCCTGTTGAGGCGCCTCAAGCAACCTCGTACCCAACATGTATCTCTCTGTGTGCCCCTTCCCCTGCCCACCATGTATGAATCCACCCCTTGCAGGTGCTGTTGCTCATCTTCGCGCGGCATTTCTTTGCGCTCGTGCTGGAGGCGAGTGGCGACGACGACGACGTTGACGAAGACTCTGCAGAGTTCACGGTATGGCTGTGATGCTGGGCGAGGGTGTGGGTGTGCGACGGTATGGCTGTGATGCTGGGCGAGGGTGTGGGTGATGTGCGACGGTATGCTGCTCTGCTTCCTCCTCCCCTCTCTCCCCTTCCCACTTACCCTCCCCTCACAACCCCCTTTTCTGCATATGTTTCTGATGCAGCTGCTCGTTTTTCTGCCGCAATGCTTCATCCTCGCCCTCCTTCTACTTCCCACTTATCCTGCCACCTCCCCACCACCCCTCCCCCCTCCCTCCCCTCACCCCATTTCTCCTTCCGCCACCACCCCCCCCTTCACCCCCTCCTTTTCCCCTGATGTTTCTGATGCAGTGCTCTGTATTCTGTTGCCATGCTTTATCCCCGCCCTCTTTCCCCCTTGCCACCCCCTTCCCGTCCCCACCCCCCTTTCCCCCCTGCCGTTTTTCCTCCCTCCTCCCCCGTCCCGTCCCGACAGATCTTTCTGATGCAGCTGCTCGGCATTCTGCTGCCGTGCTTCATCCTCGCGCGCGCCCTCGCTGCCATCCACGACCGATACCGTCAGGTGGGTGTTGCCGGGTGACGGTGGTGTGTGCAGGGGTTGAATGGGGTGGTGAGGGGCAGTGGGTGTGGCGCGCCCTCGCTGCCATCCACGACCGATACCGCCAGGTGGATGGCTGGTGGGTGTTGGTGGGGTGGTTGGTGGGTTCAAGGGGAGTGTGGCTCAGAAGTTTGCACCGTGTGGGTATGGTAGACATGTCTCCATGTGCTTGCACGTTCCCGTCTCAACCGCTCTCGGTTCCCGCTCTGCCCATCGGATTGAACACCCACCACTTGCTACCGTACACGTTCTTACCGTATAAACCAACTCAACTCTTCCTCTCTCCTCACCCCCCTTCCACCGCTTCCCAAAAAAATAACACCCACCAATTCACCTCCCTGATCATCAATCCAGCAGGAATTCGCCGAGGCAGAAGCAGCCGAGGCTGCCACTCGGCTCTCTCTCCTCCTCCAATCCCGTTTCAACGCGTCAGCATCCCGCTCCAGATCAGCAACAGGACCTGCTGACGTGGCACTCAATCTCGACCTCTCACCAGACACAGACACATCCCCCTCCTCTTCCGCGTCCTCCTCTGCTGCCTCCTCTCCTGCCTCCTCTGCTGCCTCCTCTCCGGCCTCCTCCCGACCCACCTCACCATCGGCTGCCAGACGATCTCTCTTTCAGGGGTTCAGGGGTGGATATTTCAGTAGTCTGTTACACCACCAGCAGCGTCATCAGGAACAGGAGCAGCAGCAAGCGCTGACAGTGTCTCTCTAGAGAGAGAAGCTGGCCAAAAACGATTGCTGCAACTCCACTGCAAGGTTGCTGAAAGACTGTTACATAACTGCTGGAAAGCCGCTGTAGAGCCGCTGCACTACTGCTTACACGACTGCTTATGAGACCCACTGTCTCCTGGCATGGCAGTATCTACAGGCATGAAGCTCAATGCTCAGTACTGTAGTGGTTGCGGTCACTCATAGGCTCATAGCAGCTCACCAGCAGGCTCTGCTGCAAGGTTGCTGCAAGCCTCTGTAACTGCTTACGAGACTGCTTATGAGACTTTCCTGGCATGGCAGTATCTACAGGCATGGTGCTCAATGCTCAGTACTGCAGTGGTTGTGGTCACTCATAGGCCCATAGCCCTACAGCAGGCTCTGCTGCAAGTTTCAACACTTGCAGCATTTAAGCAACAGTTGTGGCATCAACGGTAATGGCATCAGCTGGTGCATGAATAGTCAGGAGCAGCAGGAGCTGCAATAGCAGTGTCTGCATGTGTTAAGACTTGCAGCAATGATGGCAGTCCTAGTGTCTGCTCCATTTGTCAATATTGATGTTTGTAGCATTTTTTTCTTAGGGTACATTTGGGACATGCTTCACAAAAGCCTCGCGTCGCAAATGACTAGATACAGTGCGGTGGAAACATGTGCTATTTAATTAGGTGTAATGCCGAGTACAATGTGTCAAATGTTGATGTTTGTGATAGGCTGTAGTGAGGTGCTCCTTAGTGAGTACAAACATGTTACGGTTTCCTAGTTGTACCCCAACTCCTTTCTAGTCAAGCATTCCGGTGTTCGCTAACTTAGAGATGGTATCATGAGCAGGGTTCTTTTATCAGTGTAAAACGCACTGATTGCACTGTCTGGCGGCCGCTTTTTCCCAGTTACCCTTCCCCAGGAAGGGTAGTGGGATTATTACTCTAGGCTAGAAAGTGTTGTTTTTTTTTTCCCCTTTGAAAATCAGTATGGCGGAATCTTTCCCCTGAGTGTACAGGGTACACTTTCAGTTACACTGGAACCGAATTCTCGCAAGCGAGTATTTCCAAAACTGAACAAGTAGCGAAACGGACACCAGGACCAACATACACGGAAAACGACACCAACCGCACTTGCATCCCCATGAAAAATCCAATTTTGGGCCGCGATTCTTCCCCATTGGTGGTGTTGGCAGCCAAATTGACAGCGCAGCTATGGAAACGAAAATTTGGCAGCATTTGACAGATGCGTCGCTTGTCTACTAGCGCGCCGACAACACAGCGGGGCATGGAAGCTGCCATCATGCTGTCCAGGGCAGCACTAAGCAGCCACACGGTACCACCGTGAAGCATGCATGAAACGCGCTCCCAGGTGATGGCAGGGGGTGTGCTCCCAAGGTCACCCCATCTTCTACAACCTCCTCTTACTCTACGTGTGGGAAAAAACAACGTTCGAGTAACGCTGTCTCATACTCTCAGCCTGAGAGTCTCAATCATGCCTGCCGAGCAGCCACCAGAACCGCCTGGTGACGAACGCAATGGGTTGTCTGTGCTGGGCGTTCTTCCCCGCCTTGCAGACAATTATAGCGTACCGATAGCTTCCCCATCACGTCCCTCCTCACCAGTGCACAGTGTGGGGACCGCATACCCGTTCGAGCCACCATCCACGTCGGCTGACTGGGAACCGCACGCATCAATCGTCCTGGTGCCAGGCGGTGGTGAAGGGTCGTCCAGGCCCCCCGTGGACTCACCCTCCGCTGTGAACAACACGTCGGCGAAACGCCCACGCGTCGGTGCCAAGTACAAGCAGCAGCGGCTTTGGGGAGCTCCAGCACCTCGTAAGGATGCCTCGCCGCCGCGTCCTGCCGCGCCCGTCGATGAGGAACCTGGTAAAACAACTGGTGAAGTGATGTACGAGTCAGTTAAACATCGGTTCGAGTCTGAGTGGAGTGGGCAGTTCAAATGGTTGCGTTTGGTTCGTTTGTCTAACGGAGAGGCAAAGCTGAAGTGCGACATCTGCGTGCAGCATGGCGACCCGTCTGCTCACACAAGCTACGGTGTGAGAGGCGTGGGTGGCCGTGATCTACAAATTGCAAGCGTGCGTGCCCATTCCGCCAACAGAGCCCCCAAGAACGCAGTTAAGAATCTAGCGGATGCGGAAGCGGACAAGGCTAAACAAGCGAAGATTACCCGCTGGCAGGCGACGGACGCGTCGACGCGACACATCATACGCGTGCTCCACATCGCCCAGTTCGTCTGCAAAGAGGACGCCCCAATCGTGATGTTCATCCCGCTTTGCTGGTTCTTGGCTAGGGAGGGTCTTCCCGACCTACCTAACGGTGGCGGCTACGGCGCTTACTACACAGAGTACGCGCTCTTTCTTTGAAACTTTTGTTTTGATTCTTATGTTAAGCGTGTTAATGATTACTGACGCTTGCTGCTGTTGTGTGCAGATACGGATTCCGGGAGAACCTACGGGCCATCTCCACGTACCTGCAAGAAGTTCAACGCTTTCACTTGCTGGAGTCGCCATGGATTGGCTTGTCCCTCGACGAGAGCACAGACCGAGTCCACGGGAAACACCTTATACTCTACGCTACATTCTTCCGTGGCACCGGTGTGGTGAATGAGTTTCTGACACTCATCACAGTTGACCGTGCTCTTTGACTTCTGCTGTGGTGCAGTACTTGACAGGGATTGGGTTGGATCTCCACAAGATCGCAGCAATTTCAACTGACGGCGCGAGCGTGATGGTGGGGAAGATCGTCGCCCGTCTGCGCTTGCGCGTGCCTCACCTCGCCTCAACGCACTGTGTCGCACACCGGTAAGTATCTCCCCATGGATCCACCGCAACACCTTGTGCGTACACTCAGTTTCTAACGCGTGATGCCTCCTGTTGTACTTGTCAGGGAAGCACTAGCCGCCAAAGATGCGGCGGAGGAAGTCCCCGAGCTCTTCATGGTGGATGATGTAATTCGTGGCTTCGCAGATCTCATCGGGCGTTCGAATGTGAAATATGACAAGTTCCAGAACATTCAACAACTCTTCTGCAAGACGAACCTGGAGGCTCAAGGGATACATACCGTGAGATGGCTGTCACGGGGTGAGGCAGTTCAACGACTCCTCGAAGTACTTCCTGCGGTAATCGTGGTGCTGAAAGAGTACAAGCCCGCTTTGTACGAGATTGCAACTTCCTTCAAGTTTCAATGGCTGCTTCGTCTCCTGGCTGACGTTCTGTGGGAGTTGAACCACCTCAACCAACGGTTCCAGCAACGTCAGGTAAACATTGTTGCTTATTGTGTTCGTTTTAGCATCTGTTTTAAAGCAACTAACCTATTGAACTGTACTGCCACAACAGATCGACGTCACACTTGTGGCGCACATCGTGCAGCAGACACGGTTGCGATTGAAGAACCGGAACTTCAACCGGGACCCGGATCATCGTTTCGGCAGCGGGGAGAAGATGACCTTGCACGACTTCATTACGCGGCACCAGAAAATGGACAAGCGGGAGGTGAAAGCAGAGGGAGTAGACAGTGCCGGTGAACCTGTGACGTTCAGCTACACGCTTCACGAGAACAAAATCCTAGGCCAAGAGACGGACGGAGATGTAACTGCATGTTTCGAACTTTCCTTGAAGTTCGTTCATGCAGTTGACAAGGAGCTTGAGTGGCGCATGAGGGACCTGGAGCATCTGGAGGGGACGAAGCTCTACCGCTCTGCCTCATACGTTGCAGATGATGCAAAACGGGTGGAGAACTTCAAGAAGTGGCTCGCCAAACTGCACAAGCTGTACAACAACAAGCTTCCAGGTATGCTTGTGCTGTAGATCAAGTTCATGTTATGTGTCCTGTTATATCACCACAGTACCTGATGCTGAGTTACCTGTTGCTTGATTCGTTTAACACCCCCCTTTCTTGCACATGCGCCTGAGTTACCCGTTGCTTGTTTCGTTTAACACCCCCCTTTCTTGCACATGCGCCTGAGCTACCAGTTAGTTGTTTCGTTTAATACCCCCCTTTCCTCCCGGTTGCTGCAAGTACTGCCCCTTCTAAACCCACTCCCGTACCTCAGGTTTCGACTACACCAGAGCACAGAGCGAGCTCTGGATGTTCACGTCTACAATGGTGTCTAAGCACAACAACGAAGACTTCCACCAGGCACTGGGGAACATGCTACGAGATGATGCCTGGCAGCACTCGTTCCCGAACCTGATGAAGATGTGGCAGGCAGTTGCTGTGCTCCCTCTGAGCACTGTCGAGTGCGAGAGGGG